AAAGATAGAATGAGAATTATACAGTTGAGCTGTAACCAAACTAGTTTGCATTGCATGTTATATTATATTATATTCTAAATACTGTTGCATAATCTTCACTAACGACTTTGTCTTTTAATTTAGTCATAACTTGTATCAATAAATATATAAAAAGTGTCACTGACAAAAACTTATTATCTTCTATTTTTAGTCTTAATTCCTCTAATCTCTACCAGTGGAGGAAGAACTCAGATCTTTTTACTAAAGTAAAATTAATAATATCATAATGAAAACGTTTTTAATTACATATGTACAGTACTTTTATACTATTTTAAATAATTAGTAAGCAAAATGTACTAAACGTGAAACTAGGCTACTCTTAATGCAAAATGGCCCTGTATAAAGTGTTATAATTATATAAATTATTGGAATATTGCTTGATGTTGTAACGTAGCGTTATAGGCAGAATGAGCTTTAACACTGTCTACACCGGACGCGGCCGTTATTGCTCGCGTCGGAACAGCTGTTTACCCGAGACAAAGCAGAATCAGTTTACTGTCAGAGATCGCTCGTGCCACGCATTTTAATAAATAAGAAGTAAATATAGCAGACAATATAATCAGGACTTCTCAGCTGCGCGCTTGCAATAGTCACAAGCTCACACAATACGTGACAGAGGCTGGTAGCAGAGAAATCAATTCTGTGAATTACACCGCGCAAATCACAAGTAGGCTACTACCCACCGGATGAAGAAGGGTTGGCTCTCAGTCTCCACAGGCTACATAAAATATTCATTTTATTTTATTTAATTTTTCGTGTTCGCATTTATGAGGAAAAAACAATGTTACAGACGCGACAGTTCAGCACTACGGACGTGAGCGCTCTGAAAGCGGCACTAAAATATGCTTTGAAACTTTCACATAGACATCAAACAGAAAGCACAAAACCTTTCGTTTCAAAGTGAATTTCGTTTTGTATTAATTGTATCTTAATTTTAATCAATGTATCATCAACCAATTGCCTGTATTTAAGAAGTAAATATAGCAGACAATAGATAATCTCGACACGGAGGCGCCTGCGGGTGAACTGGAGCTCGTCTCATGAACCGAAACTCAGCGTATAGACCTGAGAATTGAAATATATCTATATTGAAATGTCTACTTTTAAACAGAACAATTCAAAACGAAAGACAGACAGACTCATGTAATCGAATGAAATGTGCATTTCTCTCTGGCGCGCGTTCACTGAAGATCGCGAGTCAGCATCGTCAACTTCATCTTTGGCTGACACTGACTGAAAACACTTGTTTATTAATAAACAATTAAAATGTCTCCTTGCTATATTCGTTGTATTCATAATCATTACTTTTGCCAGTTCTTTGTGACAGCTTTTAGGTATTGACAGCGCCACCCTTACATGAATCACCGCACACGCATTTTTTAAAATATTCATTTATCGGCCATTATAAATGCCAATACCGATAGTTTGGAAAATGCCTAATATCGGCCGATATATCGGTCGGACTCTAATTAATATAAAGATTATTTTTCTGCTGCTCGATTAATAAAAAAACATAATGTATCTCAAATAAGTACGAACTAGCGTACTGAATCATGATACTGTATAAGCTGGGTAACGTCAGTCTAATGTTATGTATTTGAACACCGTCATTTGAACTCTATAACCGCAAAACCATGTTATTAAAATATTTTGTACAAACATTTTTTATCATAGAGAATGTTTAAATACTAATATCAGCTTACGAGGGAAGCGGAGGCGGAGTTAGTGGTGCTTCTGCTACTGCTGGAGATGATTCGGGAGAGTCTGTGCCCCTTTACCGATCAGAGCGCGTGCTGACACGGAGCAAAGCCTTGTTTATACTCGACGCGTCCGCACGAGCGCGCGGCAAAAATGACACGTTGGGTGCGCAAGACCGCCAAGACCCCATTTCGCTTGGCTGTGTGCACGGCTTCAACAGCGCGCGCGCGCCGCGTCCGCGGATGAACGACTGCAAGCCGAATCTGCCCGAGCCGTACGTCTCACCGCACCGGCACCCAGTTTGCGCGTCTAAATTGCAAAGGTTTTTTTTGTTAAGGATTTGTTTACTGTGTGTGATTCATTTAATGGAAAGCACATTCACTTCTAGTGGTCTTCTTCGTCCTCCATTCTGCAATGTTTCGGTCTCCCACGTGTGTTGGCGAGCTGTACTGCCGGAAACGGTGCAAAAAATAAATAAATGAAGAAGCGTCGACGCAAAAATATTGCGTCGATGTAATTTTGTCGTCGAAGCGTCGACGCGCCGCTACAGCACTACTTCACACATACTAAAACACAGACAGTATAAAGTGCTTCTCAGCTTTGTGAGTGTGTTTTACCTTCTCCTGGTTGCGTGTGTTGATGTATTGCCTGTAGTTGTTCAGCTGCTGTTGTGACGGCACTCTTTCGGGATGGATGGGGAAGAGGTCATCACACAGGACATCGCACAGATCTTGATCCTGTTGAATCAGAGACTTCAGCTCGCTCTGACGCCCACCCTTCTCCTTCAGCATCATCTTGACCTGCGTACGGAGATCCTTCTCCAACTGCAGCATCGTAAGCCCGTCTTCCTCCTGCCAAACACAGAAAATATACAATCTGATTGGCCGGCTGAACAGAACGTGTGGGAGTTAGAGGGCACAGGTTTTTTCCCCTGAGACTTAAGTAAAATACACACCTGATAATCCAGCAGCTGGAGTTCATCACACAGGCAAGCCACCTCTTTTCTGCATGCTTCAATACTGCTCATCAAGCGCTTCTTCAACCCCTCCTCCTCTGCGATCATCATGTCCAGCAGGTTCTGGAATCACAATCAAGATTTCACATTGATTCGGTGTCACCACTCTCTCCGGTTAATGAGAAGCGCACATGACCTGAACCGACCTTGATGTGCATGTGAACGGCGTCCGTGCGCTGACACCGCTGGTCCTCTGGGATCCCGATCTCCTCCCAGATGTCCTTCAGCTCACCAAGAGCATTGTTCAGATATGAGACAGACTCTGCAGCGTGGATCTCACTGAAATTACACACATTCAGATCTACTGAATACATGTCCTGTTATCTCAGATGCTATTTAAAGGGTCAGATAGCAGACGCAGACAGTGTATGTCTAAAGATTATAAAAAATAGTCACCATTGAGTGTTATTATGAATTAATAAATTATCAAATCAACAGCAATATTCTACTATTATACTTATTAAATTGTTCACGATGTTTATAAATAAACAGAATAATTTGTATTAATAAATTATCACTAAAACGTGCAGCATTATTGATTGCTGTCTGTGTTAAGTAATAAAATATTTTTATTTTCCAATAATAGTAGAAATATTGATTATCATTGATAAAAGGGCTTCACAATGTTTATCAATCATTTTGTATCAGTAATAAATCATTAAAAATGTGCAGCACTAATATTGATTGCGGTCTGTTATTGAATAATAAAATAATTATATTTTTCCAATAATAGCATAATTATTGTTCATCAACTAGAAAAAAACTTCACAATGTTTATAAGCAGAATAATATTTTTTATTGATAAATGTTCATTAAATATGTGCAGTGTTATTGATTCTGTCTGTGTTACGGAGCTATAAAATCATTATGTTCCAATAATAACAGAAAAGGGGATTCATGTTGTTTATAAATGAGTAGAATAATCATTTATATTAATTAATGATCACTAAAATGCAAAGCATTATTGATTGCTGTCTGTATTGAATAAAATTATTGAATTATTATGCTTCGGCAAGGTTTATAAATTAGCATATCGTTTGTATTAATAAATGACCATTGAAAATGTGCAGCATTATTAATCACTGTCTGTATTAATAAATAATAAAATCACTACATTTTCTAACAATAGCGGAATTACTGAAAGGGACGGTTTTAAATCAACAGTATTTGCATAACTTCAGGGCTAATGCTAAATAACGGTTGATTAAACCATTTGAAAATGTTTAAATTAAAGTAAAATCACTCACAAATCACGACACATCGATCATTTTAAACCTAAATACTATTTCCACTAAAGCCTAAGCATCGACGGCAACTAACTTAAAGCTAACACAGACAGAACACATTGCTCGAAATAATAATCACATACAGCTTCAAACTGTCCCTCTTACCTCTTCCTCATCCTGTCCTTCGCCGCAGATCTCCGATGAGATTTATATAATTGATAAACGCTATTTTGACACTTCTAAACTTTTATTTTACGCTTCATTCACGATCTATCCGACGCCGCCACTCCTGGCTTGAATTTTCTGACAAAAAAATTCAAACCCCGCACTGAAACGCTTCTGGCCTCTGATTGGCCGAGACCAAGCTAGACAACAACATCATGCTCGCTGATAGGCTGAAGTGCGTCATATGACACATTACAGCGCACTGATTGGCTGACATTTTAAGCCAGCTGACTGACCAGTTTAACCAGCTGTACTGAAGAATGGAATTACTTTTGAGTTCGGACGCTTTAATCAGCAGAATTGAATGTAATCAAATCGTGATTGGTTTGTTAGGGCAAATGCTGAGTTAAATAATTTCTGATACTTTTTGACAACTTTTATGATACAATTTTTATTAAATTTTAAACATGTGAAATACAATCCTGAAACTAAATTATTGATGCAATATAAATAAACGCAATAGAGTGTTTAATTAAATTCATTCAAATTGTCCCAGCCCTTTTCAAATTCTGTAACTTTTTTTACTAAGTGATTAATCTTCATCATGATGAACTCTAAGATATGGTTCTCATCAACTAGGTGATTAATCTTTGTCATATACAGGTAATCATGTGGCATCAACATAAACAATAATACAATGAAATCAATACACAAACAGGACCTCTTCTCCATAAAAGACTGGAGTGTTAAAGCTGCAAAGGACTCGTTCATTCAGAAGGATTTGTAAGTAGGCTATTTATAGATTAATTTATGGAGCTGAAGATAAAGATTCATTAATTCATTAATGGATTTGATTCATATGCTCATATAACATGTCGATGATTCATTTATACTTGGAGTTGAGGATTCATTCATTCATTCCATTGTTCATCCTGAAGCTCAGGATTATTTCATTCATTTATTTAGATAGCTGAGGATCATATTATGGTTTCTCAGCCGCTCCGGGTCATAAGCTCCTCCAGGGCTCTCTCTTTATGGTTCTCATGCAGCAGTAAAACTTCTTTAATGGTGCTCTGCTGGAAACCCATCTCACAGAACTGAGCCAGCAGAAACAGGAACTCTGAAGCCTGAGAGAAAAACAAAAAAGTATATCCACTACATCAGGTTGGTGTATTTAATTAGCTAAATGCTGATTGGATGCGTGTTTTGTACGCTGGGTGCCAACTGGTTGACTGTTTGGAGTGCTAAATGCTAATTTGAGGGGTACTTTGTGTGCTGAATGACAATTGGTTGAGTATTTGGAGCATTAAATACTGGTTTGATGGGCGTCTGGTGTGCTAGATGCCGATTGGTTGAGTGTTTGGAGCATTAAAGACTGGTTTGATGGGCGTCTGGTGTGCTAGATGCCGATTGGTTGAGTGTTTGGAGCATTAAATACTGGTTTAAGGGGTGTTTTGCACACTGGATGCCAAATGGTTGGGTGTTTAGAGCACTATATGCTGATTTGAGGGGTGTTTTGTGCCTTGGATGCTGATTGGTTGAGTGTTTGGAGCACTAAATACTGGTTTGAGGGGTGTTTTGTGTGCTGGATGCCGATTGGTTGAGTGTTTGGAGCACTATATGGTCATTCGAGGGGTATTTTTTCCAGGTCTCACTTTGCTCTCACAGTTCTGGAACATCTCCAAAGCTTCTTCCACCTGAGTCTTCTCATAACCCAGCCGACAGAGACTATCACATGAAGTCAGGTACCTCAAAATCTGGAGGAAATCAATAGGGAATCAGATACAGAATGTGTATTTTTATACTATGTGCTTTTGCATGCAGTGTGTGTGTGTGTGTGTGTGTTACCTGATCAGGGCTCTTGGGTCCTGTCCTCTGCAGTGCTAGTATGGCAGTGCGCAGTGTGTATCCTTGTTGTGTAACGGCTTCAAGAAGATCCCTTTCTTCTTGACTCAAAGCACACAGCAAGTCTACTGGAGCGTCCTTCAGCCCTGCAGACGTCCGCGGACGCACATCCTAAAACACACCGGTAATAAAAAAATCAGCTCAACAATAATCCTAAATAAGATTTACAGATCTGCAGCATGTGTATATTACATGTGAGGCGGGTTGAGGCCTGGCTGAGGGTGTGTATATTACATGTGATGAGGTGTGTATAGATGAGGTGTGTATACTACATGTGATGAGGTGTGTATAGATGAGGTGTGTATACTACATGTGATGAGGTGTGTATATTACATGTGAGGCGGGTTGAGGCCTGGCTGAGGGTGTGTATATTACATGTGATGAGGTGTGTATAGATGAGGTGTGTATATTACATGTGAGGCGGGTTGAGGCCTGGCTGAGGGCAGCTGTCCTGCAGACGAGGGTCGCGGCTGTAAGAGTGTGTGTGAGTTCCTCCGCCCGCTGGTTCTCGTAACGGCAGGTTTTCTGCGGGGCTCTCTGGAGCTGTGAGGACGGCCCTGCGGTGTCTGGCTGAGGGAAAGCGGGACAGGCTTCCGTATATCTTTTAGAGAGGAGGCAGAGCTCGGTCGGGCCCTCTGGGGTGTGCAGGACGGGGCGGGGCGAGGGCTGGAGCCTCTCTGGGTCTGACGAACTGAACATCGCAGGCACTGTGAGCCGGAGCTCTTCGGTCTTTCTTTGCTACAAGCATCATCTTCCTCAGTAGACGAGCCCTCGTCATCTTCACCGTAGCCATCCTCGCAGTCGGTGTCGGCGATGAGGAACTGGACCGTCCGCAGGGGGCGGAGCTTACGCGAGTCGGCAGCGCTGAGGCTTAGGCTGCGGGAACGTGGGCCCAGTTCCCAGAACTCTGCGCTTCTGAGGCGCACCAAGCGGCGCTCCTGCGGGCTGCTGAACATCAGACAATATGGTGGGCAAGTGGGGGACACACTCGGGGGCGCTTTATTGGCCTTCCTGTTCTTCCGCTGCTGTTCTTCCAATATAGCCATGATCCGTTTCTCCAGAGAGAATGAATACTGTCGAACAGGACAACATGTGAGCATTAAGAGAAAGAAGATCCTACAGATTGTACAATATTAGTTGTGAGTTTATTGTTGCATTTTTACGTTTGTATCACGCAGTATTTGAGCACAATCTGGGATCTTTATTTCTGGAGCTGCAACCGGCTCTTTCTGACCCAAATGTATCTCCATAGAGTCCAGTGCAACTTTAAATGGTACCTCATCCAGACTAGACATTCTGCTGACATGAACAAACAGTTTAGGCAAGTTAATAATGTTTATGTTAATCAGTATCTCAGTCAGTATAGCTGAGGCACATTTTTAAGACATAGGCAGTTTAGGCACATTTCCATGAATATGATACACACGGTGTCCTATGACTTTATAGTATAAAGATCCTGTTTTTCCATGAATACAATTAAAAACATACAATATCATAATACCAGTGTTGGGTTTGTTACTCTAAAACATAATTAAATACTAGCTACACCTTCAACAGTGTAATTAGATTACTGTACTAATTTATCTCTCTAAAATTTATTGCATTACTTATTATTAATTATTTTCTAAATCCCGTAACAACCTTAAACAGTTGAACAATACAAGGACAGACATTAAATTATAAATTATTCTTGAACTGACCATTATAATATAAAGGAAAATGTTACATTAAAAACACATTTAGACATTAAAATTAGATGTTAAATACACTATTGTATTATATAGAATTGCTCTAGAATATATTTATTTAACACATTTACATCAGAGGTTATTAATACAATTATAGAAAAATTAAGAGCAATCCCTTACTTTACTTTTTCAAAAGGAAAGTAATTAAATTACAGTAATTATTCAGTAATGCATTACACCCAACACTGAATACTAATAATATGAATCTCACTTCACCTTATTGTAGTAAAAACCTTTAAATTAGAAACTAAAAATGAAGATTTTGCTGCGAAATAATATTGTGGATAATGTAATTTTAATAAACACTTTTTATTAACTAATTCAAATGACAAACCTTTTAACTTTGATATAATCTTAATATTTAGAATGAAATAATGTGAGATTTTGCTGTGTAATAGTAATAATATGATGCTCAATCACTGGTGTAAAACTTAATCATGTATTATTTTATTTAAAATATTTAATATAATCATAATATTTATACATTACAACATTTGCATGGAACCAAGTAAACTGTAAATTGGTATATCTTAGCATTGATTACAGGACATTAAATGAAATTGTCTTACCTGCAGTTTATGGTTCTGTCTGTGAGTTGAAGGATGTGTGTGTGTGTGTGTGTCGTATGTTCCTCGTTGTCAGATTTAACTAATCAGGTTCACGTGTGCATAATAACAGAAGCATCATGTCCCCTGGTGAACTCACACAGGCTTAAACACCGACTCACACAATAATCCTTCATAACCTGTCGGGACAAACTTACGTCATCATCATAATCATGTTCCTTTCCATTTCTCACAAGATGATAAGGTGCTAAAGATGCTTAAGAGGTTCAATTCCTAGAATACTCAGATATATACCACGAACTGTGGTGCTGTTTTGTTTATGTACGGCAATATGTTATGAGATGTGAGAAGATTGTCAGTGCGTTATTGTTATTGTGTTGTTTATTCGCCGTGAACCTGAAAAAGGCATCTGGAGATTACACACACTTTATGAGCTTGAAGTGCTGGGCCATATTACATAAACAGGGGTGATTTATGTGGTGTGTGCCCTCTAGTGGGCCTAAACTAAAACAGCAGGATTTTTGTTTCTGACCTAAAGTCTAAAGTAAGTCAAATTACGCTACATTAAAAAAACAAACAAAAAAAACATTGATTTATGTTTATTAAAGATAATACATTTTTATAAAAGTACTATAAAACTTTAAAAAAGCAGCATTATTTTTTCGATGACTTTTCTATTTTTGTCTTAACAATAAAAAGCTTGCATTCACAAAAGTCATTTCTAGCCTAAGAATTACTTTGGAAGTGAGCTTGAAACTAAAAAAAAAAAAAAAAAAAAAAAGGTGTAAAGAAATGACATTTTTAACATTTTATTGGATTTCATGGCTTCTGGACACAACCTGTGACATATTGCTTGTCTCTTTTTATCATAAAATGTTTCATTAGCATACACTAAAACGATAAACTCAAAATGTTCTTCCGCAAAAAACACGGTTTTGTTTTTTTAACCGTTAAAGTGCTAAAAGTTACAAACCGTACCTTTAACATCACTGAACCATATACAATAATTTACATCAACAAAACTTTTTTTTTTTTTACGGGTTAATAAATAAAGGTAGAAATAGCTCTAAGGAAACAATTGCAGGTTATAACTTTTTACAGTGTAGGAGCACTGTACACAACGAACGCAAGAGAGTAGTGTTTCTATAAAAACACACAAACAAGTCTGGTTTAAAAACATATTCATAGTTTTATTATGAGCAGTTAACTCAGTAATGTAGAGCTAAATACCATGAGATATGCAGTTGTAGGTAAAAAGCAGTTCTGTGAAATCATCACTGGCAAATAAACATTTGTAAATAACAGTAAATACATGATTTCAGTGAAATGATGTGAATAAAACTGATGAAATGGTGGTGGACGAGGAAAAACACACTCGCACACGTTCTCCCGGTTACAGACATCTGCTGATACTTTCACTCTCTCGCTCAAGTTCTTCCTGTGACACAGAATTGTGCCCGTAATGCTAAAATGAATTTAAACTACACTCAAATTATTATATACAAATATAAATCAATACAACATATTTCTACGGCGTGACCCGCAAACATTTAGCGTGACACACACCGAAATATCTCTTTCTCACACACACACACAACATTGTTTCTCACTAATGCTTTGGAAATGGAAGACAGGAGCAAACCAATGTTCCCGCCCTACTTTGTGATTGACAGAGACTCTATCCAATGACATCACACGAACCGTTTCTCATGCACTATCAATCATAAAAATCCCTTTCTGGCAATCCCTTTCTTTCAACCTGAATATGTTAATGAAATAAAAATAAAAACAGGGAACCGTGACAATATCTGCATCCCAATTTGCATACCGTCCATGCAATAAAGATTAATAAAAATAATCTCGTAAAAATGCCTGTGTGAAATACTCTTTCTGTGGACGCCTTATTACCCATAATCCACTTGTGCGTAAGAGGATTGAGGGATTGTAACAGTTCATTAACTTTTTTTGTTGTAATAGTGAAAAATGATACATCCAAAGGCCAAAGTTGCCACAGCAGTTTTAAATAAATCTAAAAGTAATAATACAGTTAGCTAGATGTTAACACTTTCATACAAACAATGCATTCATTTGATATATATTGCAATACTAGCACACTACATACTCAAGAAAGAGTATATACTTTCCAATCACCACTGAAGTACACACCTGTAGTATGCAGTAGAAGCAAGCAAACTGGGATGCTTCACTCTAATGTCCATCTCTACATTGCCATTGCCTTAAACACACTCACGCATCAAAATAACACTATAACAAGGACAAAATGCTGAAGAATGTGCCGTCCCTGGTTCAAACTAATGATTCACAACACACAATCAAATATCCTCACATATGAGGCTGGGGGGTCTGATCCCAGAGCTCGCATTCTCATCAATTATGTGCCGAACAGAAACGGGAAGAGAAAGAATAACTGCATGCTGAGAATATCAAGTGCGTTAAATATATTTAAAATACTGTAACAAATGTTAACACTTACTTTTAATGATTGCACATACATACGTATAGCGATATTCGGTTCGTAATTCTGTACGGTCAGGGTTAGATTAATCCAGATATGTCTCAAAAGCAGTTCAGAGCCTTTTCTGCAAGTGTGAACGCTACGATCTGAATCTGGAGTGACTCTAGTTTGATTGCAGCGCGTTTGGTGCCAATCTCTGTGATTGGAAATGTATGTACCAATGCTCTTATGTACTTTTGAGAGCCAAAGTACTACTAAAGAACCAAACTGCATTTGTTTTAGGTACATAAGGACACTTTCTTTATGAGGGAGAGTATTAATATCTGCTCTTTGACTATGTAAAATGCAAAAATATTGTTTTGTTCTGTGTGGTTCAGAGTGTTTAGTCTTTGGTAAGCTTTACAGTGCTCTTGTGGTAGAAAAATATCCAATCTGTACTCTCGAACGAATCTGTATGATATATCAGGATCTGATAAAAACATTTGATTGAAATGACTGATTAAACAATGTTTTTCTCTTTCCATTAATCTCTCTCTCTCTATATATATATACACATACATAGACACATAAAGTAAGGCATGTTAGACTAAATTTCATTCATTCAGTGACCTAATGGAGGACCCTTATTTAAGGTCTCCTTACACAAACTCCAATATGTGATGATTACATAATAGTTATCCAATAGTTTCATGAGTTAGTGGAATCATAAATCATAATGCAGCTGATGTTGGATCAGTGGTTTTCTGCTGATATACACGAGTCCCTACAGCAGAATGAAAAGCATAACTAAACACACTGGCGGAAAACCCACAACACGCTCACGCATACACACACGTCATGCAGTTTCACTTTGTTTATAAAAGCAGCTCTATAAATGTGCCATTATCTGTGGAGTTAAACATGACTTCACTTTGTCACTTTTCATCCTGTAAACGGTTTGATCGAACTCTCTGCATGGTATTGCATGGTATTAAAAGTAAAGCAAACCCAAACACATTCACTAACAGAGTCAGATGATATGGTTTCCTCAAATAAAATTACATGTGAACACGTCCAAGCCTCATTGATCAGATAAGCACGCCCTGTGGCTGCTGCAGGATCTTGATCACTCTGCTGAGAGATTCGGTGGTGGCGAAGGCCAGGTACTGACAGCACAACCAGTCCTCCAGACTCACGCCACAGCCCGAGTCCAAAGAACGCTCGGCGAACTTGATCATCATAAGCGTTCGCTTCAGGTCTAGCCAGTTCTGCAGGACGGTGTGGCGCTGGACTGTCCCGGCAGGAGGGTTCAGCGAATTAAACAGATCCTCTCGCGGGCCCCACAGCAGACACTGCAAACATGCCCGGGCGTCCCCCATCTGGATGCGCTCAGAAGGGTTGGGGTTGAGCAGTAACGTGGCGAGCTGCTGAAGACCGTTAGAGTAGAGAGAGCGCAGTGGGATCTGGGGCAAGTCAGAGCTGCAGTACTCCCTCTCTTTTAGCGCCGGACTTTCCTCGAACGGATTGGGTCGATGCAGCATCTCGTAGATCAGTATGCCGGTCTGGAATTCATCGCACTTGCGGTACTGCGTGGCAGTGAGGAGCTCTGGTGCGAGACGGGACTGGTCTCGGAGCGAAGCGGGTTCCAG